CTCAGGATAAGATCAACTAACTAGGGCTGGTGGAGTGTCTCAAGTGGTAGAGCACCTCCCTAGCCAAGTGTGAGGCCCTGAGTTCAAAGACCAACTAACTAAAAGGGAAGAAAGCATATCCCAGACACCCTAAATTGAAACACTAAGGTACTTTTAAGGGATGACTTGAACCTGAAAACTACATAATCCTGTCCCTATTGAAAATGTTAAAAGTCCAGACAACTAAATTAAAAATACATTTTAGAACATAACTAGTTAAAAACTTTGAAAAAAATTAGCATTGATGCCAACTAAAATGATCAAAATAGAGCAAAGTCCCTACTAGAACTCAGCATTGTTTGGAACTCAAGGAGAAACACATGCAGGAAGTAATAGTTAAGAAAAATTTTAAGGAAGCTTAAAAAAAAATTGAAGCAGAATCTTAAGAGGCATTGAGGAAGACAGAAAATAAAGGACAAGGATAGAACTGACCAAAGATTGCAAAGGAACAGGGAAATAAATCTACACAAGCGTTCAACAAGCTTTCCTTCCCTCTCCCCAATGTGAAAAGAATTTGTGCAATAAACTTTCAAAAAACATAGACCCTTTACCCATACAATCCTCAAGACAGAGATAGTATCTCTCCCATTTCACATGAAAGCCTGCAAGCTTTCATGTGGAATGAAAAGGTGAAATTTCAGGGTCAAGTTAAGCCTGGAGTTAGACTAAATCCGGGGAGATTTTAAAGTCAGCCATTTCTAATATCACTGCTGCTTCACAGAGGAGTCAGGCGAAGACAGAACAAACTGATTAAAGAGCACTAAATGGTACCAAAGCAAAATTCCAAGTAAGGCGCTCACTATAGGCTTTTTAAGTCTGGGAATAAGGTGGGGGGTGGGGGAGATTCCATAGAGGATTAACCTGGAAGCTTACAAAATGGACTGGAGAATAAAAAGACAAGAGGCTAAAGACAAGGAGACCACTGATTGCTTGGAACCATGAAACATAGCAATTTAAAGTACTACATTCTCTACTAGTTTCACAAGTCACTTTAAGAATACAGTAAGGCCCACCTTATTCACGGACTTATCACAGGCAGTTTTGACCAGATGGCAGTCAAAAGTAGTAATGAAAAAATTAACAATTTCAAAAACAGTAATTTTAATTTTCCCTGCATGCATTCCACAACTCAGTGAATGTGGAGAAGCTCTCAGTCAGTCCTGCACTTACCATCAGTTGTATTGAAACTGTCCTGTGATCTGCTGAGTGTTTCCCTGACCATTCTGTGAAAATGTGCCTCCCCAAAAGCAAATGGTGGCCAGGTGCCAGTGGCTCATGCCTGTAATCCCAGCTACCTAGGAGGCTAAAATCAGGAGGATCATGGTTCAAGGCCAGGCCAGGCAAATAGATAGTTCACAAGATATAACCAGAGCAGTGGTAGAGTTGCCTGCTTTGCAAGTGCAGAACACTGAATTCAAATCCCAGTCTCATAAAAAAAAAAAAAAAGGTGCCCCAAAAAGCAAGGCAAAAATGAACGTGCTTAACTAAAGTGTTCAAGTGAAGAGCTGACATTTGTTGACGGAGAGCACGTGGCCAAGAAGGGTAGCATTATTGGAAAAATGAGTTCTGTGCATCATGGACATGCGTGGTTTTTCCTCCACAGCAGGCTCCTTGAAATCATAGACCCTTGGACACCAAGGGATTAATGTACTTCTTTTAAGTGAGAGTACAGTAGTGGTTACCATAGGGCAGGGAAAATAGGGAAAGGGAGAGATGAGAAAAGGTTGACAGATACTAAGTTGGTTACATAGAAGCAAGAAATTCTGGTATGCCATTATTTATCAGAGTAACTGTGGATAACAATAATGTATTGTACATTTCAAAAAACAGGAAGAAAGAATTTTGGAAGTTTTTGCATACAGAAATGATAAATGTAGAGACATGTCTAACCTGATTTAAACATTACACTATATATATGTATCAAAGCGTTACATGGCACCCCATTAGTATACAGTTATTATGTTTTTAAGTATTAGTTTAAAACTACAATTAATTTTTTAAAAAAAGCTTTCTTGCAGGTGGAATTGAGGTTTGAACTCAGAGCTTCTCACTTGCAAAGCACCTGCTCCGCTGCTTCAGCCATACCCTCCAGTCCAATTTGCGCTGATTGTTTAGAAATAGGGTCTCATGAACTATTTGCCTAGATTGGCCTCAAACCGGATCCTCCTGACCTCAGCTTCCTAAGTAGTTAGGATTACAGGAGTGAGCCACCACTGCCCAGCAAAAAATGTTTCTTTTTCTAAGACTCACTATTTTAAATTAAATACAATAAATAGGAGCTTCCTGTCCATTTTTAGTGATCAATTAACTGAAATTACACAAGTAGATAAAAATGCCAGATATTTGCCTATATTTATAAATCTAACTCTTTCATTTTTCTCAGCAGTACTGGCGTTTGAACTCGGGGTCTCTCGCTTACTAGGTGGACACTCTACCACTTGAGCCACTCTGCCAGCCCCGCTAAATTTAAATCTTACTTCACATCTCCATGTAGTTTAAGGTCTTAACTGGTCAGCCTTTCAGTGCTTTATCAATCCATGTCACCTAAAAATGTATACTCAATTAGCTCCTAATGTATATTCATATGTGGTTTCACTGATCAAGAATCCCAAGTGGTAGCCGGTGCCTCTGGCTCACGCTTGTAATCCTAGCTACTCAAGTGGCAGAGATCAGGAAGACTGAGGTTTGAAGTCAGCCTGGGCAAATAGTTCAGGAAACTTTATCTCAAAAAAAAAAAAAAAAGAACAAAAAGGTTTGCTGGAGTGGCTCAAGGTATAGACCTTGAGTTCAAACCCCGATACCCAAAAAAAAAAAAAAAAAAAACCCCAAGTGATTTCTTATTAATTAAGCATAGTAAATCCAAACTCTGTCCCCTACATGCCTCCTTCTATCTTCCCACCTAACCAATTATTTTCCAAACTGGAATACCTCTTCCTGTTGTCTCACTCAAATTCCTCCATATATCAAGGCCAAGCTCAAAATGTGTTTTCTGAAAACTCCATTATCTGAACCCAACAATAGTTAAAACAGACTCCAAATTAGTGCCAAAGAGGTCACATGTAACTTTTAGCTAGCTCAGTTCTTTTAAAATAAAATTTCATTCCAACATTTAAAAACTGAGAGATATCATTGTTTTAAAGTTATATTTCCAACTTTTCTTGAACAAATTAGATGTCCTGGCAACACTGGGTTGGTATTCTTACAAGCCACAATTAGCTAAAACTCAGCAGCAGCTGACCTGTTTCACAGGTTCTTACACATTCTTTATTGTTAAGACCCTTGACTTCTGAAACCATATGTTCAGTACCTGTGGCCATTCAAGAAATACCTAACTGCCTATCAAGCTCCAAAAACTGCATTAAGGTGCTGGAATTCCAAAGATAAGCAAGACAAACTCAGCTCCCCTCCCCCAAAGCCTAGCTTAGCAGGAAATGCAAAGACACAAGCAATTGCTAGAAAGGAAGGATAAGGCACTTAAGAATGGCAAGAATACCTAACTCTATGAGAAATTAAGAAAAACCCACAAATCAATTAACAGCTAAATTAACAGCCACTCATAATGGTACAAGCCTGTAATCACAGCACTCGGGAGGCTGAGGCAGTTGACCTGGGCCAGCCTGTGCTCCAGAGCAAGACCTTGTCCTAAAAAGAAAAAAAAGAAAAAGAAAAAAAAAACACAAAAAGTAACAGCTAGCAATTGGGGAGGGGGGGCGGGGGCGAGCAGGGAAACCGAATATCCCAAAGAGAAAAAAGAGACTTTGCAAAGATATTGGAGAGGGGAAAAAAAAGTTTCAGGAAGTGAAATCAATTCAATACGGCTAGCCAACCTTAAATGCAGGGGTCAGAGAAAGGGTTCAATTGAAATGAGAAAACCACGTGTTGGTTAAGGTCAGGAGACAAAAGAGAATTTCAATAAAAAGGTTGAATATGCAGGAGAGTTTGTTAAGCAAATTATATAGAGCACAGCTGGAGTGTTAAGGCGTGAAATGAAGAAAAAAGGAAAAACACTACTAGCCTTAACCAAGGAGAAGGACGCACAAACCGGCATGGAAATGAGGAGAGAGTGTAGAAGACCAAAGGGGCTTACATGTTGGGCGGTAGCCAAGGATAACAGGGATGTGAAGCATGGTAGGTTTGGCTGGCCACAAGTTTGCCAAGAGAGTTAGTCCCAGCGGTCCTTTGGTGGACGCAGAGGCTCTGATGCCTCAAAATTCGGCTGCCCTGGATGGATTGCACTTCGTCCCTTTAGCAGATAGCGGCTTCAGTCTGGATTGATTGTGCTGGCTCCAGGACAGGCTCTGGGCTCCAGGCTGCCGGCACGCAGGCTCCCAGGGAGTAGTAGTTAGAGGCCTGGTCTGTACGTGCTGGTGGGTAGAAGTTCAGTATAAACTACCTCGCATTACTTTCTGAGTTTTCTGTAGGAATGATGGGCCTAGTGTGTGTCCATTACAGACTTAGAGGAAGAAAAAAAGGTGCCAAGAAGTTCATCATCTGTCCTAAGAAATTCTCGAGATGAGTCATTCTGTGACTCCAAGTCTCCCAAAGACGGCTGTCTCCCCAACGAGAGATCTCTGCCAGAAAAGACCTGTGTTGCACTTTTTCTTTTTTACCTCCCAAAGCGCCTAATACCGAGCTGGGAATGTCCAACGCACTCAATTCAACAAAATTACCGACTTCCTGACTGATCTCGAGTCACCGAATTTACCTAGTTTAGTATTCTTTTTTGCATATAAAGCTGCTAAAGAGAAGCGAACCTATATTTCAGAGCCAAGATTTTCCTTTATGCCAAAATCCACTGCGTTCTCTCCTCCCTCAATCGCAAGGGCACAAATACTGCACAATTCAAATGCAGCAGTTGACTCCACGTTCTGCCACGAAAAACGCTCCCCCGCAACCCCGGAGCGTGTAGCAGCCGGGTGCACGAGTCCCATCCACCTCCCGGGAAAGTAAAACACACTCACCGACTCCCTGCGGCCGGGAAAACCCGCGAATGTAGTAGTCCGCTCGCCGCCGCGATCCCAGGGAGGCATTTCCGGCGCGCGCCGTGACGTCAGCAAACGCGCCGCCCTGTGGGCCCGCCTCAGTGCCCGGGGTTAAAGGGGATCCGGGAAGACGGCTGCTGCTGTTGCTGCGGCTTACCGGTCTGTGCTTTTGATCTGTGCCGGACCGGTGATGCCGATGCTGCAGTTAGGGACGAGGAAAAATTGGGGTTGAGCCCCAGCCGAGCCGCGGACTCGCGCTCTTCGGTCCCCCGGACCCGCCCCACCTGAAGGTAAACGCCTGTCCGACTGCGGCCTTTTCCCTTGACCCGGCAGCCCAGAGGATTTGCCCCCTCTTCACCGCTCCCTCTTTATTCTCCGACGCCGGCCTTTGCCTCCTTCGCATTTCTTACCGCAGTGCCCAATGTATCCACAGTTTCAAAGAGAGACTGTAAAACCATGTTGAGTTCCTGGAGTTTTCGAAGTAATCCCCCAAACACTGATCATCGGGGTGTTTTTCCATCACTTGTCCTTATAATCGGTTGTTTGCTATTCGTGTTAGTCGTAGTCTAACGTTTTGCACGCTTTTTCTGTAGAAAATGTGAACTTGGGACCAGGGTCGTTGCCCAGGTGGTGAGCGCCTGCCTACAAGCGCCAAGACCCCGAGTTCAAACTTCAGTACCGCCAGGGGAAAAAAACCCTAAACTAGGTTAGGTCTGATACAACTTTCACGGGCAGTTCTCTGACTTTGTAAAAGAAGATCTGAAAATTAATTGTGGTTTATATATTTATAAACATGTATGTCGTTATCCCTTCAAAGTTCTGAACCTATTCACGTAATAAAATGCATCATTTCATAATTAGGTATAAATGCACAAAATTAAGGATTGGAAAGAATTTTTATATTTTCAAAATGTTATACTAAATTCTTACCTTAGCATTACTTCAGAGAAAAATATTAAGACTACCAGAAAAGGTACCAAAGTATTAGCAAAAAAAAAAAAATTTAGTGGCTCAGTATCTCCTGAGGTGGGTGGGCAAGGTAGTCTACATAATTGGAAAGCACTTTCTTGCTCTTGGTCTAGGAAGAGTTAAGAGTACCCCCTGGGTTTCTCCTCCATCTTTTTAAAGATCCTCCTCTCCATACATACACAAGCAGTCCAGCATTAAAAAGGGTTAAAGACCCTTTAAAGAAGGACAATTAAAAACTTAGTGGTGGCTGGGGAAAGGAATTCCCTAATGCACCCTGCTAACTTCTTAAAATGGAAAGAGGGTGTATAAATCTGCCATAACTGGTGATTGCCAACATTTTGGGTTTTCTTGAAATGAGGAACACCTGCCTTAGATTGCTTATGGACTCATTTGTTTTCCATTTTAGAAATGAGTGGTGGCTTGGCTCCAAGTAAGAGTACAGTGTATGTATCCAACTTGCCCTTCTCCCTTACAAACAATGACTTATACCGGGTAAGTTTTACAATTACTACATATACTGGGTATATGGGTTCTGGGTTCTCTGGTTGTGATGCAGACTATAGCTTAAGCAAATAGTTTTCCTTGGCAATATTCTTAATAGATGCATTATAATGCACTTAAACCATGAAAACCAAAGACATCTATTACGAACATGATTAATTTCCAAAGAGTACTTGCAATGCTTTTATAAAGAACAGCAATTTCTTTTATAAACGTAAAAGATACCCAGGCTTGATGGTTCACAACTATAATCCCAGCACTTGAGACTGTTCTAAAGTTCAAGGCCAACCTGAGCTACATCACAAGATTCTGTCTCAAAAAAAAAAAAAAAATCCAACACCTGTGATACAACTAGCATAATGAAATGGGTGCATTTTGCAGTGGGTTAGTCTTTCCTATTTGCTTACTTGACTTTTGAACATTAATGGGGTGGAGGTTTTGGAGGAAAAGTCTAAGGAGAGCAAACAGATCCCTTCCCTAACGGTCAGGTTCTGAAAGTATATCTTTACATTCTACAGTAAACTTACATACTTGGTTCACATATTTTACATAGAAGCTAACAGTTTAATATATTTTGTTTTCAGTTCAGAATAAGAGTGATTGAGGTGAGGGAAAAAAATACCTTCCAACATATTCTTTCACATCTTTACCTAACAGAACAAAATTTCATACTCCCACCTGTCCTGCAGATGGGTGGCTGAGAGAGACTGGGTAAAAAGATATGAATCCTATTTTCAAGTTTATTCTCTTTGCTCCTTTTGGTAGATATGGAAAGATTCTGCATATGCTCTACATAGTACTTGATTAATTAAGTTAGCTTGAGTTTGAAAGAACAGACAAAAATAGCAGTTTCTGTCAAAATAGAGACATAAGCAGAATGCAATGTCCTGTAATCCTGCTCAAGAGGCAGGAGGATCAAAAGTTTGAGGCCAGCCCAGGCAAGGACGCTATTTCAAAAAAAAAAAAAGAAACAAAAGGTCTGTGGCTTAAGTGGCAGAGCACTTGCCTTCCAATCATGAGGCCCTGGGTTCAAACCCCAGTACCACGTCCTTTTCACCACCACCCCCCAAAAAATAAGAGATCTAATGTATTGAATGCTGAGCACCAGTAAATGTAAAAGACCTATCAATGAACAAAAAGATACAGTATAGCAAGAGAAACAATGCAAAAAACAAAAGTAAATTAAGCTGGGCGTTATGGATCATTGCTATAATCCCAGCACTGGGAGACTGAGCTGGGAAGATCATGAGTTCAAGGACAACATGGGCTACATAGTAAAACCCTATTCCAAAATAAATTGATTAAAATTTGTTTTTAAAAATGTAAAAATATGAAAAAAGTCAAATTAAGCTATTCATGGTTCCCTGTAATTCCAGCAATTGGGAGGCTGAGGCAGGAGTATCACTTCAGCTGAGGAGGTTGAAACCAGCCTGGGCAACATAGTGATACTGTGTCTCAAAAACAAAAGCCCTCAAAATTATATGTTAGATACTAAGGATGTGCTAAGGGGAAAAAGTAAAGCAGAAAATGGTGAAATTTTAGTTAAGGTGGTCAGAAATGCCCTGAAAAGGTGATTTGGATAAAAATCTTGAAGCAAGTAAACCACAGATGTCTAGAGGACAAGCATTTCAGAAGAAGAAGGGCAATTGAGGTAATCCCACTCTAGGGATGCCTGACAAGCCTGGTGAAGACTGGCTACACTCTTGAGTGAAATGAGAAGCCATTAGAAAGTGTTACGTAGGCAGGGGGGAGAAATGAACCAAACCTTGTATGCACATATGAATAATAAAAGAAAAATGAAAAAAAAAAAAAAGCAAGTGTTACGTAGAAAAATGTACTGGTCCTCTGAATCCAGTGTTGCTAACACCAAAGTCCAGTGCATTGGACTTTGCATTGCAGCATTGTGCAAGTAATCTTAGAACTCAAAATTTTATGATTATTGTTTGCATGTATTAGCATATTCTAAAAGACTTAATATCTAATAAAACTCATAATAGATAACAATGTAATATAGTTAATAAGACTTATTATATAACAAATAGGAGTTAAAAGTGTGTAGGTGCTGAAACTAGCAGAAGATGAAATTAGGGTGAAGATGTAGAAATAAAGTAATGGTTGTCAGAGTGTGGTATAGTATGCATGATCCTTCTGCCTCATCCTCCTGAATGCTGGGATTATAAATGAACACCACCATGCCCAAGTAGAAGTGGGTTTCTCATTGTAGGTTTTTTGTTTCATAAGCAGTCAGTCATCTTAGGATTGTTTAGACCATGGGTGTGGAAAAGGAATAGTACTATTCACAGCATTGATATTTTGAAGCACAGAGTTAGGCTGGAGCAGTGATAGTTGTTAGCAGTTGATAGTTGTCTTTGATATACCACAGGAACACAGCTGCTTCCATGCGTGTGCTCCAAACTCACAGTGCTCTTGCCTCATCCACCCCCAAGTGTAGAAAATATTCTTGTAGACTGAAGGCGATTTTTTTTTTTTTATGATACTGGGATTTGAACAAAGGGCCTTATACTTGCTAAGCAGGTGTTCTACCACTTGAGGCACACTATGAGCCCATAGTTTTTTCATAAAAATATAATAATTTGGTTAGTATGTATGACCTGAAATTTTAATTTTTTAATTTTAAAGTTTTTATCAATATTTTAAATTACAAATTATGCTAAGTGTGGTAATATACAGTAGCACTTGGAAGGCTGAGAAAGAGGATCAGAAGTTCAAGTCCAGCCTGGTCTGCATAACAAGCTGGAGTCTAGCCTGAGCTATATAGCAAGACTGTATAAAAAAACAAAAATAAATCAATATAAATAAATATGTTTTTTGTTTCAGATATTTTCCAAGTATGGCAAAGTTGTGAAGTAAGTACTCATATTACAAGATACTTGATATAAAAAAGAACAAAATACTATGAACATTTGACATGTATCTCATTTGTTTGTCTATGTACATAAACAACGATTTTTAGGACTTTATAGGTGCAATTTTGTTTTTAATTTGATATTATACCTGTTTACAAATAGCTTTCCATGTACCATAACGATTTAGTGGTTTTTAGTATTAGCTTATATATCATAATTTATTTAAACAACCTTTGGAACTTCTTACCATATTGCTGAAACTAATTTTGTTATCCAATATGAGACGTAAAGACTCAGTAGGTGTCGTGGTGTGCACCTATGAATAACTCCAGCACTCCAGAGGTGGAGGCAAAAGAAAGTAAAGACTGAGTAAACAAATACTTTGGTTACTAGAAAGTGTTTTATCAAGTATATTGTAAATGTGTTGCCGTTTATCAAAGAGTATAAAAATACTTCAATGCATCTGACTTGCAGAGTGCTTATGAGACTTATAGAGGCTTAGAGATAACTGGAAACATACAAAAATGGTAATAGATGATAATTTCATTTGGGGCTGAGAGTAAGGGTGAAAACAATTTTGAGGTTGTCATTTAGTTTACTGTTTTAAAGCAAGCAAGTATATTAAGGAGCAAAAAAGTAAAAATGTCATTTTGCTTCATATATTCTGATATAAATTTAAAATCCCCAAAATTTGGCTGGTGGAATGGCATAAGTGGTAGAGCACATGCTTAGCAAGCACAAGGCCCTATGTTCAAGCCCTGGTACCACCCAAAAAAGTGGGAGGAGTCCCAAAAATAGAGAGCATATTTATTTTGATTAGTTATTTTCTTTTAGCTTTAAACAATTGAAGTTTACATTTGAGATTGTTATTTACATCTTGAGATTGATAACTACTTTTTAAATTAATTTACTATTAACAAATCATTATTGAAAATGCATCTGGCTTACTTTTTGGCCATACAGAGTTTTGAATAGTCATCATCAATCAAAACAATAGTAATAGCCAGGAGCTGGTGGCTCACACCTGTAATCCTAGCTATTCAGGAGGCAGAGATCAAGAGGATTGTGGTATGAAGCCAGCTCGGGCAAATAGTTTGAGAAACGCTATCTTGAAAAAAACCTATCACAAAAAAATTTGGGCAGGTTGAGTGGCTCAAGGCCCTGAGTTCAAACCCTAAGACCTCAAAAAAAAAAAAGTGATGATTTGTAACAGATACGCATATGTGTATGCTAGACATTTTTCTCACCTATAGTATCTCATTTAATTCTCACAACTGCCTTTTAAGGTAGCTGTTATTATCCTGATAGTCTAAATGATTAAACTAAAGCACACAGCAAAGCTAAGGTTATATTTCTAGTTAATCATGGAGACAAGATTTGGATCCAGCAGCCTGATAACAGACTTAAAAACATACCATTACCTTTTCTTGGATTTTTTTTTTTTTTTGCCTCTCTGCCAAAGTACCTGAATGAATCTCCATACAAATATATAATTATAAACCAAGAGAATGCTATGAAGTTAAAGACGCAAAGGACCTGATCTACACAATTTGGGAAGGCTTACTTAGGTCAGTGTCCTTTGAAACCTAAAGCCTAAGTAAGAGTTCAAAATGCAAAAAAAAAAAAGAGAGGAACATGTCAGGTATAAGAAATAGCTTGTGCACAGGCCCTGTGGCAAGAGAAAATAAAATGAAATCAAGAAACACAAAGGCCAGTGTAACTGGAAGTACATGAGTCAGCAAGAAGGAGAAAGCACAGTATGGTTCCAGACATGGAAGCAGGTCTTGCTTGTTGCCCATGTTCTTTTGTGGTGTTGAGGATTTAACCTAGATCCTTACACATGCTAAATGTCCACTTTATCACTGAGTTCATCCCCATGCCCTAAAATTATTTCAAGCTTATTCTGGCTTCAGTGTGTAGAAATTAGATTGGAAGTGCCTAGAGGAAAAAAAAAAATCAAAATAGAGTAGCATTGGTTCCAGGCACTTAAAATGGAGTCAGAAAGCTATTGTTAATCAGGTTTCAGACATCTCTACAGCTGGTCATTTATACTGAGCTGCACCTGTGCCATCCTCACCTCCCATGAGTTGGCCTTTGAAGCATTGTTAACCTCTGTTCATCTTCTTTCTGTACAGTGGCCCCTACCTAAAACTACCCAGAGACATTTTTTCCCTGTTGTAGGTGGTGGTTATGGTTGAGATAAGGTCTGCCTTTATGCCAGGCTTGCCCTAGAACACAAATTCAGGGAGACCAATCTGAAACCTAATTGTATCCAGGAAAGAAATGTAGAATAAGATGATGCAAGTAGAGAGGAAGAAGCTGGTCAGATTTGAGAGATTGTTAGTAAGTAAGTAGGTTGTTCTAGTGATACACTTGTTTTGTACATAAGGGCTGGATGAGCAAGAAAGAAGTGTTAAGGATGACAGAAATTCTAGTAATTGTGACTGCTTCATATTACGTGGTTAAACGAGTATGTTATCTTATATCAGGAAATGCTGCTACTCTACCCCTTGCCACATATCAGAAACCTGGAAGTCATCATAGATTTGTCCTTTTAAATCCTTGGTATAATTTCTTTTTCCTATTACCATAAAGAAGTATAATTGGTTTACAGGTCTGTCTCCATCACTAGACCATAAACTTTTTCGTGAGGGTAACTTGTACTCCTGTCTTCACTGTAGTGTTCATTGTTGGGGCTTGAAGTTAGTAGAGTAACTAACAATACTCAAATAAATAAATATATAGGTGCACTCTCTTCATTTGTTTTGTTTGTTTGTGGTACTGGAAATCAAACCAGAGCCTTGTGCATGCTAGGCAACACTCAAACACTGAGGTACATTCCTAGACCTAGGTGTACTCTTGAGAAGTTACTTTTCTCATTTCTTTTTTCTCAACATACTGAGCTAAGCACATGCAGGTTACAGAGACAGCACTAAAGGAGTTTATTCAAACAGGCAAGATGGGGCATTGTTACATATAAACAAATAATTCAGGAGACTCTAACAGAAAGGAGAAGAAATTATTTCCATTCAAAGATATAAGGGAACTAACACATGATCCTAGACCCTGAATAAAGGCCACAAAAAAAGTATTGAATTTTTGGGGGGGTGGGCAGTACTGGGGTTTGAAATCAGGGCCTTGCCCTTACCAGACAGGAGCTCTTTCACTTGAGTCACCCCAGCCCAAGGCAATTAATTTTTTATGTGTTTGGGGGGGCAGGGGCGGGAACTGATTTGAACTGAGGGCTTCACACATACAAAGCAGGTGCTCTACTGCTTGAGCCACACCTCCAGTCCATTTTGTTCTTGTTTTGGAGATGGGCTCTTGCAAACTCTTTGCCCAGGCTGGCCTCAACCACTATCCTCCTGATCTCAGCCTCCCAAGTAGCTAGGATTACAGGTGTGAGCCACTGACACCCAGCCCAAGGCAAATTTTACTAGGCAAAGATTAAGAAGTGAAAGGAGTAAAAGACTTCCAGAGACACCAGTTCGGGGAAGTATAATCCATTTTATATGAACATTAAGTGACTTGACCTCATGGTTTATTCTTTTGTAGGAGGGAGAGCTATGAATTTAGGGCCTTGAGCTTCCTATACAGGCCCCCAGCCACTAGATCTCATAGTTTGTGAGTAGGAAGGAGTAGTGAAAAATGAGGTAGGAGCCAAGTCAGAAAGCATATTGATTTGGGGGGGAGGGGGTGTATGAGGGGGAATAGGTAATTTAAGGAACCAAAGATTAACTCTGGTGTGGTGGTGTGTGTCTGTAATACCACCAAGTTTGAGGCCATCCTGGGCTCCATGAGGGGACCCCCAACTCCAAAAAAAAATTTTTTTTTGAGCAAAGGAATGGTGTTGGTCTATGTAATTATTATGTGGAAAACTCACTATAGTATACAAGAGAATTAACATGAAGGAATCAATAAGAATAAACAGTTGAAAGAGTAATCACCACCATAGATAAGAAAAAAGCAGGAAGAAAAAAGAGGACAACTGAGAGGTCATTAACAAAGGATGTCATGGAACGCTAGCACTTCTGAAATAGCTTTTTTTTTTTTTCTTTTGCAGTGCTAGTTAAGCAAACACTGCCATTCAGCTACATCCCTGAAATGGCACTTGAAAGAAAAAAAAAAGAAAATATTTATGACCTTAAACTGACCTTCATAAATATGAAAATTCCAAAAAGTTAAAGCAACTGCACATCCTCACTCAGTACTGTGGTGATTTTGAAGAAAACCAGTCTAAATTTCAGCCTTTGTCAACTTCTTGACTTTTCTTCTTTTCTAAGCCCATTAAATAAATAGATACTCTGCATAAAAAGAAAAATTCTCATTTATTTTAAACTTAATCGCAAGGACTAAGGATGGAGGAAGAAAAAGATTAGGAAGTTAATCAGTTAACAGCTGAGACCAAACCAACAAAAGATTATTTTACAGCCCAGTACAGTGGCATGCCTATCCCATTCCTGAGGCAGGGGGATCTCAAGGTCCAGGCCAGCCTGGGTTACACAGCAAGGCCCTGCATTAAAAGACGAAGGAAAAGGCTTATTCACCTTACGTTGAAACCTCGACTTAAATCACATTTTAAGAGGCCACCATGATCTATTTTCATAAAAATTTTCTGACTTTACCCCAACCAGTTGAGCTACATCCCTGGTCCTTTTTTAGCTTACTTTAGAACATTTGTAAAGAATATAACCACCCTCCTCCATCATTTTTTTCTTACTTTTTATATGATGTTTTGTATTGTATTTTACTGGCACATATACGTCATAAATGATGTATCCTTTTCAGAGTATCACCTGGAGACATGCAAATCCCATCTGTCTCTCACTAGTGATAGTATTAATCACTCAGTCAAGGTATTACCTAGCTTCCCCACTGTATGCTTCATTTTCCCTTTGCAATTAATTTGCAGTCAGTGGGAGACATTCTAAGTCAATGCAAATGCCCTGCTCCACATAATTTCATTTTAGATTTAACATGATGGTTCTTACCTGATCCAGTCTTTACCAGGTGGTTAGAAAATTGTGATTTTCCAGCTCCCGTGCTCACATTACATTTACCAGTAGTCCCTAGGCATTCTACTGTAAGCAGGCACTCACTTTTCTTCCCAACTTATTTATTATTGGTATATACTTATGAATTCTTTCTCTTTCTGTCTTTTGTAATTCATTACTGAGCTTAATTATTTTGATACTTAAATTGTCCTGTATTTGATCCATGGTCCGCCCTTCCAACTGGCTTCTTTATTTACTTTTTTAAATAATAAGTTTCAATCTCTTACCTTCCTGACCTGTTCTAGTTTTGGAATTAACCCTTCTTCAAAGAGCTCTGTTGAACACTGTTCTTAAACTATACTAAATGATGGCCAGGCATTGGTGGCTCATGCCTGTAATCTTAACTACTCAGGAGACAGAGATCAGGAGGATTGAGTTTCAAAACCAGCCCAGGCGAATAGTCATGAGACCCTATCTCAAGAAAAAAAAAAAAGTCACAAAAAAGGACTGGCAGAGTGGGCTCAAGCAGTTGAGTGCCTGCCTAGCAAGTATGAGGCCCTGAATTCAAATCCCAGGGTCCCCCTCCAAAAAAAAAAACCTAAATGAATGGGTTAGCAAGGACCTCGGGGACTAGGGATGATTGAGGGGAAGGAGAAAGCAAGCTCTGCTCTCATTACTGTTCTGTCACTTGGGTACATTGGGTGGTAGGGCTAAGAACCACTGAACTGGAAATTCCTTAAAAGAAGAACAAATACGCTATATAGTAGATGTGTTTTATATTTATATATGAAAATAAAAGAATGAAACCTGTTGAAATTGTTCTAAAAGAAAGGGAGGGGAAAGAGGTAGAACGATGGAGGGGGTAAATCTAACTAAGATATTGTAAGCACATATGTAAATATTATAATGTATTCCCCTGTACAATTATTACATGCTAATACAATTTTTTAAATTAATATTCTAAATCTAATATTCTATAATAATTTTTTAAATTATAATATACTTACTTAGGAAAGTAAGTATACTTACTGTGTAAAAGAGAATTCCTCAGCTTTGTTTGGGGTGTTTTTGCAGGGTGAGGGAGTTAGAGAGGATTATGCTTCTTCAAGATTCCATTCTCCCTGACACCTCTTGATGTCACCTTTCAAGCTCTGATTAACTCCTTATCGCAGCCGTGCTCATTTTATTAAGTCAGTATCACTTTCTCTTTTTTTTTTCTTTCTTTTTTTTAGCAGTGTCTGAGATGGAACCTAGGGCCTTGTGCATGCTAGACAAGCACTTTATCACTGAGATACATCCCCTCCATTCTTCTTGGTATTTCATGACTTTGAAGAGATACCCTGTTATTTAAATATACTAATTTCTCACACTTTGTAAGTGTTTTATTTAATCCCTTTTTTTAAAAACTTGAGTTTCACTGGCACCAATGGGATAGACCCTGAGTTCAAACCCCAATACTGCACATAAATAAATACTTGAGTTTCTCAAGGAGTTACTAATATCTATTTTATTTCTGCTTCATTTTTAACTGGCTCTTTGCTTATGCTTTAAGGGTTACTATAATGAAGGACAAAGATACTAGGAAAAGTAAAGGAGTTGCATTTATTTTATTTTTGGATAAAGACTCTGCACTTAACTGCACAAGAGCAATAAACAATAAACAGGTAAGCCATTCATTCTCATCAGGGTTTTTAACCTAAAAGTCTTTGTACTCATCAAGGCTAAAAAAAATGTGGGGATATAGTGATGGTCATGGGGAAAAAGATATCAAAGTTGCATGGGTTCCCAAAATACTGGTAGAATCTAAGAAAGAAAAATATCACAGGATACAATTTATCACATGTATGTGGAGGCAATTGCTAAAATAATCCAAAAAATAAAACGGAATTTGAGGAAGTAGGATCAAATGACTAGTTTGGAGTTTCAGTGCAATATATTCCTCTGCATTTACTTTTTTTCTTGATTTAGTTATTTGGTAGAGTGATAAAGGCAAGCATTGCTATTGACAATGGAAGAGCAGCTGAGTTCATCCGAAGGCGAAACTACTTCGATAAGTCTAAGTGTTATGAATGTGGGGTAAGTGAACCCAAAAGATACTGAACTCTTTCATAACTTAAGATATTTTCCACATCAGTCTGTGGGTGTTCAACCAAAATTTCTGGCTGGCTAAAATCAGGTTGTAAAAGTTGTTTTACTTAGACTAAATTTCATTGAAATGTAGTATCTAAAGATAAGCTGGTTTCAGTACTACAGAATGATACTTTCTCCAAATTCTAAATCTTTGAGATCATTTTCTAAGAAGTCTTATAATAATTATTTATCTAATTGTCTTGAAAAATTTTAGTAACTCATAAATTTTTGTTAATAAAATATTGGTTCTATGTTTTTATAGAACCATAAATTCTATTATACTTACCAGTGTTTAAGCTTAACAGTTTAGTGCCAACATTATCATATGACACATCTATAAGATGTTTTCTTTGGAATTTTTGTTGTTGAGAAGGGGTCTGGCTTTGATACCCAGGCTAGTCTCAAACTTGTGAGTTCAAGTGGTCCATCTCCACAAGTAGCTGAGACTACAGATATGCACCACCACATCTGGCTGTTTTGATTTTTTTTCTGTTAGTAATACTAATGTTTTGCAACTGAACTATCCCCACATTTTACCTAATTTTCCTCATGATCTACTGAGCCATTCAAAGTCTTGGTGATTATAAAAGAGACACAAGCCAGGCGTCGTAGCACAATCTGTAATCCCAGCACTCCAGAGGCTGAAGCAGGAGGATCAGGAATTCGAGGCCAGTCTCGGCTACATTTCAAGACCCTATCACAAAAAAACAAAAAAAATGAAGATTCAAAATGATACACAGCCATAAAAGTATTTTGTGCAAGACCCATAATGGTACCAAAAGAATTTCAGTCTGGGTCTTATAGTCATCAGTTTCTAAAATGCCTAGATAAAATACTTAAATTAGGTCCAGAGGTATTAATGGAGAGCTGGAGAGAAAATTACTGAGAGACATTTTTCTAGCTACAAAATCATATGGAAGATACAAGGAAATGACTTGTCATCCTTACCCAGTTGCCAATTCCTACTCCCCTTCCCCACCAAAAAAGAAATATAGGCAGAAAAATGGGTAGGTGAGTAGAAAGAGGAAGCAAGCAATGACATGGATACACACTAATTCTGTCAAATTCTATGACTGTAAACCCTGATAAGTGAGTGTTTTGAAACTGTTTCAGAGTCTTATATTTTGTATAAAAAGAAGTGCTGGTCAGACATGTTGGTGTAATCCCAGCATTTAGGAGGCTGAGGGAGGATTGTGAGTTTGAGGACAGCCTGGGCTATATAGTGAAACCCTGTCTCAGGAAACCAATAAATAGATAAATAATAAACTTTTTTAAAAGGAGGAGACAGGGTAGTTAGGTTCAAATTAGAATGTGCCCTCATTTCCTATATTTAAAGTAGATATTAAATTATCTGAGAAATTAAGTCAGGTGCCCATGGGTCACACCTGTAATCCTAGCTTCTCAGAAGGCAAAGATCAGGAGGATCAAGGCTAAAGCCAGCCCAGGCAAATAGTCCCGAGAGACCCTATCTCAAAAAAGGTCTGACAGAGTGGCTCAAGGTGTAGGCCCTGAGTTCAAACCCCTGTACTGCAAAAAGAAAAAAAAACTTATCTGAGAAACTCTAGATAAATCTGTAATGTATTCCTTTGGTTTTATGGATCCAAAAATTTATTATGTTATACTGTGTACATTTTTATAATTCTTTTAAGTTCGCCGCCCCCCCCCCAAATCTGTTTACTTTATTCTCTTTTTCCCAGTTATTTCACCATTAAACATTTTTTTATATGGGATGCCTCTTTTGGTATACCATTATTCTAAAAGACAGTTTGGGAAATGCTTCTCTTAAGAACATTCTCTATGCAGCTCAGTAACAGTAAATAACACCTCTGGGAGTCAGTAATGTCCCAACATAAAGTACATAGTCTACTTCAGGCTTTCTCAGTATACTTGAAAAGCATGAGTTTTCTTCTGTTCTAATCTTGGCTCAGTCTCCCTCACACAACAGTTTAACTCGTGTGCCTTAAACATATTTTAGTGAGCTAATGTACACATAGTTCAGAGTTCTTATGTCTTACAACTCAGTGTTCTAGCTAATTATGAATAATAGTCTAGTCCAGTCAGTCAAATAGGATTATAAATACATGGACTTTGTGTGTGTGCAATACCAACCACCGAGATACATCCACAGTCTCCAATAATGTAATTTAAAATGTTAAGCTACATTGAAAAGGCTGGTGTACATTTGTAATCCCAGCGTTTGGGAGGCTGAGGATATCGTTCAGGGTCAGCCTAGGATACATAGCAAACCGTGTCTCAACAAAACAAAAAAAGTGTGTGTATGTATGAAACAGGTAAAACTTAATGTCTTTTACTCAACTCAAATTATGTCCAAAATAATACCATTTGAATATGGGTTTTGTTTTGCAGTAGTAAGAATTGAACCCTGGGCCTTGCTCATACTAGGAAAGCTCTACTGCTGAGCTACATCCCCAGACTCCACTTCTTTTTAAAGTAGAATGTTAAGGCAGGTGAGGTGTCTCACATTTATAATCTTAGCTACTTGGGAGGCAGAGATCGGGAGGATCGAGGTTCAAGGCTGCCAGCTTGGGCAGAAGGTTTGCAAGACCCCATCTCAGTCAGTGGCTGGGCACTGTGGTGTACACCTGTTATCCCAGCTACACAGGGAAGCACAAGAAGGATTGTGGTCTAGGCCAGAGCATAAAGTGGAACTCTATCTCAAAAATAACCATCACTGGGCTGGTGGAGTGATTCAAGTGGTAGAGCACCTGCTGAGCAAGCATGAGGCCCTGGGTTCAAACCCAGTGCCGAAAAATAAACAAGCAAAGAAAGAAAGAAAGAAATTGTAAAAACCATCACAGAAAGGGTTGGTAAAATGGCTCAAGCGGCAGAGGAGCTGCCTAGCAGGCATGAGACCCTGAATTCAACCCCCTGTACTACTACCAAAAAAAAAAGTTAAGCAACATCTTGAAGTTAGTAGTTTTATACCCACTTTATCAAATAATAAGTTAGAAATTTTACATTTAGGATAGATGATTCATTTAGATTTTGAACTGTCTTATATCTTGAAACTTGAGATTTAAAGTGTTTGAGGGGAAAATGTGTATTTTACTTTTAGAGAAACTGCTAAAATACTCCCTAAATTATTAAAGTAGCTTGTTTGGAATTACATCACAGATTCTTCCTTCAAAGTATTAAAAGTAATGGGTTTTATCATTAATTTCCTTTGTATATTCCCAGTACGATAATATTCTTTTTTTTTAATTCTGAAACTGTTTAGTTGTAGAGTACCAAGCTAGTTTCTGTTAATAGCAACAAGTATGGTATTTTTCCTTTCTTTTCTAATATGAAACCAAAGGAAAGTGGACATTTGAGTTATGCCTGTCCTAAAAATATGCTTGGAGAACGTGAACCTCCAAAGAAGAAAGAAAAAAAGAAAAAAAAGAAAGTTCCTGAACCAGAAGAAGAAATGTATGTATACCTATTCTTACTAAATTCCTTAATGTGCTGCTTTTACCTTTTTACTACTATTAGATTACATTCGGAATTTTTTTTCTTGAATGATTTAGTGAAGCAGTAGAAGAAAGTGAAGATGAAGGTGAAGATCCTGCTCTTGACAGTCTCAGTCAGGCCATAGCATTCCAGGTACCAGATTATTCTTTTAAATGGTTCTGGGGCTGGGGATGATGGCTCAAGTGGCAGAGCACTTGCCTAGCATGGGTTCAATCCCCAGCCCTACAAAAAACAGACAAAAAAGAATGTGGCTTTATCTGATATTTAATGTTCTAAGGGATTTTTACTGGGCACAGTGACCCACTTGAGAGACTAAAATGGGAGGGTCATTTGAACCTAGAAGTTCAAGACTAGCTTGGGCAGTATAGCTTGAGAGTTAGAAATAGCCAGGCATGGTAGTACACACCTGTAATCCTAATACTCAGGAGGCTGAGGCAGGAGGATCACAAGTTCAATGCCAGCCTGGGCTATATAGTGAAACATGTATAAAAAGAAAGCTTAAAAATTAAAATGAGAAAGATAAAAGGTGTCGTGGTATAATTGCCTTGGGTTAAAGTTTTTTTATATTCCTTGCTTTCTTTACTGGTATTTCATCATGATCACCTCTGTCTATTGTTCATGTCTCAAGTCTGAGGCAGGAAGCAGTTTCTCTAAGTCTTTGTGTGAGTGAAAAATTTCCATTTGCTTTTTCTGGGTTTTAAAGGTCTCACAACACTTTTAATGTGAATCTGTTTTTGTTACAGAATTGAGCAGAACTGTTCACTTGGTTAAAGTGAGTTTAGCTCAACTTAAAAGACATTTTAGAAATTGCCTAGGATGGTTTTGAGCAATGCTATGACTGGGACAAAATATGGGGATTAGGGGAATATCTGACCTTCTGCATGGCCTGGGAGGGTGGGAAGTAAGTTGCATTTGTGTTGTGTTTTTGCCATGGTTGAATTAATGCACCATAAATAACACTGGCTTTATTTTGTTTGTTTTCCGAATTACATTATAGCAAGCCAAAATTGAAGAAGAACAAAACAAATGGAAACCTAGTGCAGGGGGTCCCTCAACATCAGATGATTCAAGACGCCCACGGATAAAGAAGAGTGCTTACTTCAGTGATGAGGAAGAACTTAGTGATTAAAGTTGTATTTATTATGTAAATATTCTTAAAATAAAAAAATCTTGGAGTACAAAGTTCAGTTGGGGAATAAAGATTACTTTAGTACTTGAACACAGGCACATTTAATAACATAGTTTTTTACTACAAAATAATAGGAAATTTTTTAATATTTTTAAAGTGTCTTATTTCTGTCTTGCCTTAGCACAACACAAGTTGAACATCCGTAATCTGACAATGCAAAGTCTAAAATGTTCCATTATCCAACACTTTGAGCCACCAGCATGATGCCTCAAGTGGGAATGCTATACTGTGAGACTTCGTTCATGCACACAGAAAATTACCTCAAGGTATATGTGCACAGTATGTATGAAACATAAGTGAATCTCATGTTTAGAATTCAATCTCATACCCCAAAACACCTCATGTATATAGAAATATTCCAAACCTCATGTATATAGAAATATTCCAAAATCTGAACGACTTCTGAAAATCCAAATTTGTTAGTATTAATCTTGAAATTTTAAAAATAAGGAAACTCAATACTATGAACTTTCCAAGTAATGGTATTGTTATCCCATAAAAAAAGATAGGTACTAAGATGATGTGAAGCCAGGTGTAGTGGCAAATGTCTAATCCCAGCACTCAGGAGGCAGACGTAGAAGGATCACAAGTTCAAGGCCAACATGGACTACATAGCAGCTTCCAGGCTACCATAGGCTACATGTGAATTTGACTCCAGGCTGGGCTACATAGCAAGACCATGTTTCTGTAGTAATTGAATAGTTCTTTGTACAAACACCCCATATTACCTTTTTAAGTACTAAAAGCAATAAACGTATTTCCTTTTTTGAAAGGAAGTGAAAGTGTTAACCAGCCCACCAGCATAGAACCTTCCAAATCTCACAGCTAAGTGTAGTGGTACACAGCTATAATCTCAGCTGAGAATCACCAGTTAAGAGGCCAGCTTGTCCTGTACAGTAAGACCCTGTATCAAAAAAAAAACTTCCAAATCTAAAGATGAAAAATCAGACAGAATGATTGAATGTAGTACATTCTAATCAGTAAAATAGTATAAAAAAATTGAACTATTTGCCTAAAAATGTTTTTTTAAATACCTTAAAAACAGTCTGTAATAGAAAATGAGTTATTGGCATAAACAGATTATTTCAAAAGATAGTATGGGTTGGAGGCTTGGCTCAAGCTGTTAGAGGCCCTGCCTCACAAGCAAGAAGCCCTGTGTTCAAACCCCAATACTGCCAAATGAGAAAATAGTGAAAATATTTTTATCATTAGTTACTAATCTATTATAAGCAGTGTAACATTTTTATCTAATTATTTTTAAAAGCCTGTGTCAAAAATGATAGAATACTTGTGGTATTGTAAATTGGCTCATTTCCAAAGGATAATTTAGCATTAAGTGTCAAATATTAAGTGCATTCTATTCTTTGAATCAGAAATTACATTGTTTTGCTGGGTGTCTAGCTCACACCTGTAATCCTGGCTACTCAGGAGGCAGAGATCAGGAGGACGGCAGTTCAAAGCCAGCCCAGGCAAATAGTTTGAGAGACCCTATCTCAAAAAAAACCCTTTGGAAAGGTAAAAGGGGTGGGGACTGGTGGAGTAGCTCAAGGTGTAGGCCCTGAGTTCAAGCCTCAGTACCACAAAAAAAAAAAAAAATTACATTATTTTATTCCACAATTCTCATCAGAAATACAGGTGTTAACCGAGGATGGTGGCACATATCTGTAATCCCAGCACTCAGGAGGCTGAAGTAGGAGAATCATGAGTTTGTGGCCAGCTTGGGCTACATTGCCAGTTATAGGCCGCCCAAGTTATAAAACAAGACCTTATCTCAAAATAAAAAAAATCAATAACAAAAAAACAAGTATTTATATACAAAAATAAATTGTTTTTGGCAGTACTGGGATTTGAATTCAGGGGTTCATACTTGTTAGGCAGATATTCTACCACTTGAGCCACTCCACCCGTCCCCAAAATGTATATTCTTTAAAATTCAAAACAATGTCAACATCAAATAAAAGTATGATGTGTCCAAATGATTATTAGGAAGCATTAAAATATTCCAAATACTTTTAATGATATGAAAAATTCTATATTATTGCACATGATGGAGGTGGGAAGCCCATTACCAAGGTGGTAATTCATTGTGGTCTTTTTGGGGCTAGGGGTGTGGCTCAAGTGGTAAAGAGCTTGCCTAGCTAGTGTAAGGTCCTAAGTTCAAAGCCCAACACTGCAAAATTTTTTAAAAATAGTTTGACAGGCATACCTAGGTTTCTATGGCCATATTACAACTTAAAGCTGTGGACATTGGGTAATTTACTTAACATGAGTTATTTGAAAAGTAAACAAAGTAACAAATATTGTATGATTTCACTTACGTGAGGCACCTAGAACAGAAATAGTAAATTCAAAGAGGCAGTAAATAGACTAGAGATTGGGGCTGAAAAAGAGGTAGAAAGGAGTTACCATTATGAGTATGAAGTTGCTGCTTTGGATGATGAAAAATTCTGGAAGTGGATGGTGGGGATCCTGCACAATGCTGTGAATGTTCTAAACTGTACACTTAAAAATAGGTAAAATGGTAAAAGTTAAGTATATTTTATCACACACAAAAAAATGTTCAAACAAAAAGTGGTTGGAAATTTTCTGTAAAGAGCAGTTAGACCACCAAGCCACAACCTCTGCACCTGCTGGCATTTCGGGGGTGTAGGGGCAGATACTGTGCAGAACTGGGGTTTGATTTCAGGGCCTCATGCTTGCTTGGCAGAAGCTCTACCACTTCACATGCCCAGCCCTTTTTTGCTTTAGTTATTTGATAGGGTATTGGGATTTTGCCCAGGGCTGGCCTCAGACCTCGATCCTCCTACCTATGTTTCCTGTGTAACTGGAAACAGGCATGTGCCACCACACCCAGCTTACTGGTTAAAATGGGGTGAGGGGGGATCTGACTTTTTGCCTGGCCTCCAAACCATGATCTTCCTCATCTCTATCTCCTGAATAGCTGGAAGTAAGGCCAGGCATCTTTTGTCACTTAACACTGCTTTCCTCTGTACTACCTCAGTTCCCAATAAACTTTCTTCAGAGGGTGGCAGACATGATCACCAGTATCTCTAAAGCTAGGAATCCCAACAAAGAGAACTCTTCTTTCCCGATAGTTCCAGCAAAAGTCTCAAGAAAAGTCTTAATTGGCCAGGTCACAGAACCCCATTCATGGAGATAAGGAATAGGCCAGTCCTGTCTAACCTAGGTAGGCTAAGAATGTTCCTATGGACCCTGTAGGTAGTATCTGTTTTCAGTTTGGAATCAACATGGGTATCTTCAGGTCAAAAGACTTCAGCTTAAAGCCCTCCTTTCATCATAGCCAAAGGCTGAAGACCCCAAAGAACTAATTTCTTGATGATAAAGAATCCTCACGGCCCACAGGCAGGACACATGGAAAGAAGGCAAAAACCTCCTTTAAAAGTCATTTCATAAACACTATTACTTAACAATGTGAGTAACTGCAATCAGAGACCAAACCCTAAGTCCATATAACGAGTTAATCATTGTCAACTTTTTTAAATTTCCTTTTATAAGATCCAAATTTAAGAATACTCATGTACTATTACAAATAGAACCAATTTATAATTTTAGTTAAGAAGTAAGATCTAGTACATAGAAGCCAGCAGACCAAAAACATAATAGCTTTTACAGAAAGTAGGAATGTTCCATTTTTCACAGCACATCTTTCAGATGCAAGGCCTTTTAAAGAAATGACAGGGCTGGGGATGTACCTCCATGTTAGAAAACACATGAGTCCCTGGATTTAATCCCTAGCACTTGGGGGGAAAAGATAGAAGTGATACTGTTTGTTTAATGCTTTAGGAATATATTTAAAACAAGTTAAATACAGGACAGGTTTTTAACAAATTATCTAAAAGATCATTTGTACCACATACTAAGCAGCAGCCACTGTTCTAAACACAGTACAAATAAAAGCTAAAGCCCTTTTAGAGAGGTTCTATTTTATCATTATGTTGATAACAGGACTGAGACATGGAAAGGCAAAGTAATTCACCGAAAGTCACAGCCAGTAAGTGGTACAACGACTTCAGTCCAAACAAACTAGCTCTAGAATCAGTTCACTAAACCACTATGCCATGATGTTTGACAACAAATACATTGCTATAAGCTATATCACTGCCTTATCAAGTAGGAGAAGGTAGATTAAGCTCCATTTAATTTAAGAATAGCAATTTGGCTTAGAACTGTCCCTTTTTAAGTTTTTTGTTAACTGATACATAAAAATAAAATTGTACACATTAACAGGTAATGTGATGTTTCAATGCATGAACACATCCTATAATAATGTTTAAATCAGGTTAAACAGTTCTATCTCCTGTCTTTATGAAGAAAGCTAATGATTTTTATGAGATGGAAATATTCTTCAGAAGAGCTTATTAAAAAAAGAAGAGCTTACAATTTTTGAAGTTAAAAGTTTAGGGGCTGGGAATGTAGTTCAGAGGTAGAATGCTTATGAAGCATGCATAAGGCCCTGGGTTCAATCCCCAGCTATGCAAGAGGCATAGATAGGAGGATCGTGTCTGAGACCAGTCCTAGGTAAAAAACCCAAAACCTTACCTGAAAAATAAAGCAAGGGGCCTATGGCTCAAATAATAGACCATCTGCCTAGCAAGCATGAGGCCCTGAATCCAAACCCCAGTACCATCCAAAACAATTTTTTTCCAACTAATCTCTAGTTGGAAGTTTAAACTCTCTTAAATTTGGGGTCCAAATTTTTTTTTTTTTTTTTTTTTTTTTGCCGTAGTGGTGCTTGAACTCAGGGCTTTCACCTTGAGCCATTCCACCATCCATATTTTTTTTGTGAAGGGCTTTTTTTCGAGATAGGGTCTTGCAAACTATTTGCCTGGGCTGGCTTCAAATTGTGATCCTTCTGCTCTCTGCCACCTGAGTAGCTAGGATTACAGGTGTGAGCCACCAGTACAAGGCCCTTGGAGTCCCAAATTTATCTGTCCAACACTGACTTCCTAATCTTTCAAAGAAGTCTTAATCAAACCCAGGGTCACACACTTGCTAGGCAAGCACTACACCACCAAACTATACCCCCAGACTCTGTGCACTGAATGTTTGTGTCCTCCCAAAATTTAAATGTTGAAGCCCTAATCCCCAGAGTGATGGTAACTGGAAGTGGGACCTCTGGGAGGGAATTAGGTTTAAATGTGGTCTTGCAGTTGGGCCCTGGTGGTTCATGCCTATAATCCTAGCTACTCAGGAGGCAGAGATCAGGAGGAACGTGGTTCAAAGCCAGTCCAAGCAAATAGTTCTCAAGACCCTATCTCAAAAAGATCCCATCACAATAAAGGGCAGGTGGAGTGGCTCAAGGTGTAGGCCGTGAGTTCAAGCCCCAATACTGGGGAAAAAAATAAAAAATTTTATATATGTATATGCATATATATGTATGGTTTCGCTGGTGGGGGGGAAACCTCGATGATGGGATTAGGGACTTGTCATATAAGAGGACAAGAACTTGCTGTCACTGCATGTAAGGATACAGCCAGACAGCACCAGCAGTGAACCAGAAGGAGGGCACTCATAATTCCTGATTTCATGTCCAGCTTCCCAAAACTGTGAGAAATAAATTGCTGTTTAAGCCATCAGTTTATGGAATTGTTACAACACCTTTTGCTGCTTATTCTTGCTTTCTTGCCCTAACTAAAGCTTCCACCACACTAAGCAGAAATGGTGAGGACCAACATTCTTGTCTTACTCCTTTTTTTTTTTTTGCAGTACTGGGGCTTGAACTCAGGGCCTTCACTTTGAGCCACTCCACCAGCCCTGGTTTTGTGAAGGGTTTTCCAGATAGAGTCTCGTGGAACTATTTGCCTGGGCTAGTTTCGAATCACAATCCTCCTGATCTCTGCCTCCTGAGTAGCTAGGATTACAGGCTTGAGCCATTAACTGTGATGACTTACTGTCAATTTTTAGTAGGTTAAAAAAATTTCCTTCTATTCCTAGTTTTTTAAGGAATCCTAAATTTTCTCAACTAATGAATATTCAGTAGCACCCACTGTTAGTTTTTCCGCATCAGTTGAAAGAATCCTTTTCAACTTTTCAGTTGAAAGAATTCTTTTATTCTGATAGTGAATCAATTATACTGTCTTCCTTCAAAAAATCCTTACTTGTTCATGTGTGTTAAGGACTGAATGTGTTCCCCTAAAATTCATGTGTAAACCCTCTAACCCCCAGTGTGGCTGTTACTTGGAGATGAGGCCACTAAGGAAGTAATTAATGGATAAAATCTTCAGGATGAAGGTGATCCCATAGGATTAGTATCCTTATAAGAAGAGACACCAGAGCGCCCCCTTGCTCTCCACACCACAGGGAGATAAAAGGCCTCTATAAGTCTAGAACAGAGAGCCCTCGCCAGAAATCAAGCCCTGCTAGAAACTTTGTTAGGAAAAGTCCAGTTTCCAGAACTATTGAAAGTAAATTTCTGTTACTTAAACAAAATAGTCTCTGGTGTTTTGTTATGGCAGCCGAGCAGACTAATACAAATGTATTGTCTTATTTGTATGTTGGTGGGTTTGGTTTAAGAATTTTGTTAAGTTTACTTTCAGTCTTTTTCTATATTTTTAGCTGTGCCTCTTTGTATGCAAAATATATTTGAGTGCTTTTAAATGGTGTCTGAAATTTTCTGTCTATAATTATAACATTTAGTTCATTTTCAGTTCATACCTAATCAAAGGAGGGAGGGAACCCACAATGGTAATTTGAAAGGGGATATAGAAAGAATTATTAACTATAACAGGGGTTGAGATAATAGGATTGGCTAATAAGCAAATAGAATTCTAATAAATACAGCAGATTAAAAGAAAAAAAAAAGCCACTATTGGCAATGCTGACAATGTCCAAGACAAAGTACACCTTACAACCCTTCCACCTCAGGACAGTGGCTAACCCACTGGTAGACACCAGTGGTAGACACTTTGAGAGGAACTATAAATCCTCACCATAAGGTGCTGGGAAAAGCTGTTTTCCAGGAGGCATCCCACTGAAAAACACTCTGCTACAAAGCCACCCAAGAAAGGGAAAGCGTAAGCTGGGCACCGGTGACTCACATCTGTAATCCTAGCTACTCACTAGGCAGAGATCAGGAGGGTAGTAATTTGAGCCAGATAGTGATTAATTTGAGTTGTAATATTTTTCTATGAGTCCCAAACTTTCCCTAATTTTTGCCTGCCTCAGTACCATTTGTTGGGTATGGAGGGGAGGCATACTTTTTCCTTTATTGAAAGACATCAATGCCTTTGAAGAAATCAGTCCACAATAATTATTAGGGTTTATATCTGGACTTGAAAATACATTCATGACTTAGCAAAATTCTAGTGGTAAATAGTGCTTTATCTCCCCTATTGATTTATACATTAGTGTTATAATGTATCTCATTTTCTACTTATTTTGAATATCAGAAGAAACTCTTGCTATTGTTTTACTCAGTCCATGTTTATTTAGGTTTCCCCATAATTTACACATTTGTGCTCTTCATTTCTTCCTGTATCGTGGAACTTCTATCTAGGATCATTTTCTTTTGTTTTGCCTAGAAAATACCTTTCTTTATTTCCTTCCTTTCTTGCTTCCTATCATTTTGTTTTCATTTTTTTTGTTTGTTTGCTTACTTGCAGTGCTGAAGATTGAACCCAGGCCTTGTACATGCTAGGCAAGCATTCTACCACTAGCTACATCCCCAGCCCTTTTTATATTCTGGATAGTCCCTTACAGTTGTCTTCTAGATCACTAATAATTCCTTCGGCCTTGTGAAAATTCTGTAAAACCCATGCACTGAGTGCTTAATTTTGATCATAATGACTTTCATTTCTAATTTTTTTTTTCATATCCATGGTTGTTAAAGATAGCTACAAATTCTTTGTTACTCTTTCTATTGTGAGATGGAATTCCTCTCTGAATCTGGGCTGACTTTAGTGATTTCCAAGGCTTGGTTGCAAGAAGTTTGTGGCTCCCAACTGAGCATTTTGAAATGCTTGCTGTGGGGATGCTAGCAATTCCTTTGGGAGCCCAGCCATCTTGCTATAAAAGCCAATACACATGAAGGTCCGAAGTTCTGGGTGAGCTCTCAGCAGATGACCAGTTCCAAATGAAGTAATGCAAGTGTATTACCTTAGACATCCAACCCATTTAAGTCTTCAGATAACCATAGCCTCCACCTGCCAAAACGATTCCAAAGTTTGTAGTCAGATCTGAGGACAGATTAGGATTGGAGCTAGATTATACTCACTCAGTACCTCTCTTTCCCTCTCTTTTTCATACCACTCCTTTCCCATCTGTGTTTTTTTTTTCCTTGTTAATCCTCAGAATTTTGGAGACTCCATTTTTCTATCCTTTTTGCAACTGTTACTATTCTCTTTCCAAACATGAAAGAATCCACTTTAGATTATAAAGAGGGAATAGAAATGGGGCTGAATGCATATTGATGCAGTTGAAATTCACGGGAGAAAATAATGTATCTCAGATGTGCAAAAGCTTCAAGAGTGACTTAATTCCCCCCTACACTTGCCCCCTCAAGTGGCTTAATTTTTCAAGACCAAATTTACAAAGGTACCCTACAGAGTTAATAATGATTCATAATTTATGAAAACCTGGAGAATACTTATGCCAATTCTACTGTTATTGAAACCGCAGTTTTGGACCCAGTATCCAAACTCCTAGATTCCACATGCCAGGTCTTGCTACTCGCTTCTAAATGCCAAATAAGAAGGCAGAGAATGGAGGTTTATTACACAGCCTGGGACATGCTGTGGGAAAAGGCAAGTAAGCATTCAACCCATCTTCAGGGTACAGATATGAGCTATAGGTTTAAGTAGACAAAAGAACTGGGGGCACGGGACAAAAGGTGTGTATAGCTAAACAGTTCCAGTCACAAGTTTGGCCTCGTTGGTCATTATCTCAGTTCTTGTTCTGGGAGAGGTTCCATATTGTAATCTGGAGCCAGGCAGGTGGTCCATCCAGAGGAGGGTCTATTGGTGGTGGTAGTTTCCATCCCTTGTTATGAAGATGTTATCTATATCATTCCTGTCCTTCCTTGATTCTAGGTGGTTGCAAGGTGACTGCAGAGAGACAGGCTCAGAGCAAAGGCAGATACAAAATGGAGGACAGATGCCATGTTTTTTTCCTACTTCTAATCTGTGGGCCCAAGTAAGGAGTCACTGTTTTCAGCAAAAGCTGTTCAAGAGCCTCTTACACTGTGTTGTGTTAGAAATTGCATGTCTTATCATAAATATATGAAAATCCTGGTGTTGGGGAGTATAATGGTTAATTTTTATTGTCAGCTTGACCGGGTTGAGAAACACCTAGGAGGTTAATAAAACACACCTCTGGTGTGTCTGTGGGAACATTTACAGAAAGGATTAACTAAAGGGGGATGTCCTGGGTAGCACCATCGCATAGGCTGGGGGCCTGGATGGAAGAAAAAGGGAGAAAGCCCACAACTGCTGTAGTCTCTTTCTCTTTCCCTCTCTCTTCCTCTCTCTCCCTTTTCTCCCTCTTCTTCCTACCCTCCAGAAGTTAAGCTTTACTACACCATGCTCTTACCACCATGATGAAAACTCTGAAACTGTGAGCCAAAATAAATTCTTTCACCTTTAAGTTACTTATGTTAGGTATCTTGTCATAGCAACTAAAAGCCTGACTAATACAGAAAATGAGTACCAAGGAAATAGGTTGTTTCTATGACTACTTATGATGTGTGTGAAGCCTTTAGAACTGGTTTGTGGGAGGAATATGAAAAAGTTTGGAGAGGAGGACTAGAGAAGCCACAGACTGCTGTAAATAAAGCTTCATGGGTAATTCTGGTGGGAACTCATTTGCCTGGGAACTGTGATCCCCCTGATCTCTGCCTCCTGAGTAGCTAGGATTTCAGGCATGAGCCACCAGCAACCAGCACCCAGCTAAAAGTTCATGGCTTTTTTTTTTTTCATGGCACTGGGATTTGAACTCAGGCCTCATGCTTGCTAGGCAAGTGTTCTACCACTTGAGCCACTCTGCCAGGTCACATGTGGTTAATTCTGATTATCAACTTGATTGGATTAAGAAAAGCCTAAGAGATTAACAAAGCACACCTCTGAGGATATCAGTAAGGACATTCACAGAAAAGATTGACTAGAGAGGGATGACCCAATCTGGTGTGGACAGCACCATTCTACGGGCTGGGGGTCAGTATGGAATAAAAGAGGAAAAGAGAGAAAACTAGCTAGTGTAGGCATTCTTGCTCTCTTTCCGTTTCCTGGCCACTATAGTGTGAACTGCTCTGCTCCACTACATCCTCCCCACTATAGTGAACCAAAACCTCTGAAACATGAGCCAAAAAATATTTCTTCCTTTTGAGTTATTTCCTCCTTTTAAGTTGATCACAGAGATGATAAGACTGACTAGCACAGGGAAGAAACTTAATACCTCTTTTAGCTAACACTGTAGTATTTATTTCTCAGACACATATTTGACTCATATTTTAATCAAAGATTAGAGCTAGAGAAGTAGTTCAGTGGTAGGGCACATGCTTAGCATACATAAGGACTTGGGTTAAGTCTCCAGCACAAAAATTAGTAGATTTTCTTTTTCTGGTACTAGAGTTTGAACTCAGGGCCTCATGCTTGCTAGTCAGGCACTCTACCACTTGAGCCATTCCACAAGCTGAGATTTTTTAAAACTAATGAAATGTGGTTTTAGGAAAAAGTTTAATTTTCAGTTGAAATGATTTGATACATGTATACAAATCTAAGTTCTAGCAAGTTATGTTATAACGGAGTTTTAGCACACTAATAATTTAGAATGTTTTTATAGGGAGCCTCTGGATTCAGGGAGAATTTTAAAACAATAAAATATATAATGATAATATCACTACTTTATGTATTATGTATAACAACTTCAGTTTATTATATTTTGTTTTTTGTGCTTAATGGCTTTAATTATGTATTACTATGCATTCACTAAATATTGTGTTTCTGAAATTTTATTTTTCTTTTTTAGCAAATACAAAATGGTTTCACATTTCAGGTGGGTAAATTCTAAAACAATACATACTTTATTGACTTCAAATAATGACATAACAAGCCACTATTCCCATACGCTACTAGCACTCCTGATGACATATTCTAAATTGACTACTCATTATCTGCCAAGTACCATTCCAGGCACTTTAAATGTATTTTCCAATTTAATATACACAAGAACCAAAGGAAAGGGGCTGGGGTAAAGCTCAGTGGTAGAGTACTTGTTTAGCATGGGTAAGACCCTGGGTTTTATCTCCAGCATTAGACCAGAAAAAAAAAAAAAAAAGGAGGCATGCCTATTTTATAGATGAGGAAACCAAGTCACAAATAGCCTACATGTTTTCATATTAAATGATGCTTAATTTAATGCAGAGTCAGTTTAAATAGCACATTTCATTTAAACAGTGAGTTCTGTTGGACTTTATCTCACTACTGTCTTTTATATTAGCATATTATAGTTGTATATGAAGGTATTTGTGACATTTACATAAGTGCTTACAATATATGTTAATTTGATTCACTCCCTCTTATCATTCTCCTTTATTACCCTACCCTCCTTTATAGAACAATTTCAACAGGTTTCATTGTTCTATTTTCATATGTGAATACAAAATACTTACACCGTGTTTGCCCTCCTTCATCCTTTCCTCATGCCTGCCCCACTTCCCCTGTTACCTACCCCTAGAAAGGACCTGTTTTTCCTATCCTTCATTTTTAAAAAATTGTTTTTTGATAGTTTGTGGTAGTTATACATGGGGTTTCATTGTGACATTTCTATGTATATTATATCCTGAATTGGTTCATTCCCTCCCTTATTCTCCTCCTACCCCATTCCCCTTCTTGTGGTAACTTCAACAAGTTTCAGTGCTCCATATTCATACTTGTATAAAAAGTAGTACCATATTCACCCTCTTTAGTTTCTTCATTTACCCTGCCCGTTCCTTAACATGACCTGTTTTACATTCTTGTCCTTCATTGCTTAGGTGTCTATTTTTCAGTGTGAATTTTTGCCTTGGTATTTTACATGTAAATATATTGTGCTTAAGTCAGTTTTCTATTACCTTTTTTTAGTAACTTAAGGGCATCACAATTAACTGCAGTTAGAATGCCAGATGCTAATACTCTGAAGTTACAATAGCTCTAAAGATTGAACTGACTTACTGTGAAAGCTCAGCCAATAAAAAATTCCAGTATAAATGAAGAAATGCTTCATAATCCTGTTAAATCCTATGAACTTTTTTTAAACCTGCATTTTCATCTTCACCACAAGCATCAGGAATTCTTAAGTTGAACTTAGATATTCTGTGCCTGCAGTATTAAATAATGAGTTCAGTACATGTTCTTTCAACATTTTGCACTTGTCTTACACTGTCAAAAAAAATGATGACTGATCTTTTAAAATTCTTGCTTACAAAGATACCTATCTGCATTTTTATGTTCTGTGTTATCTAAATGATAGCTTTATCTTGGAAAATATCAAGCCACTACCTCTACCTCCTTTTAAATAGGAAAATGCATTCCTTCACTTAGTTCTCATCTGATAACCCCAAATATGTACCTTTAGATCACATATGCCTTCTCTGCCATACTACTTGAAATTAAAGAATCAAGGGGAGAGAGGATGAGAGAGAACGATGGAGAGGGTTAACCTAATTAAAATATATTGTAAACACATATGTAAATGTCACAATGTATACCCCTGGTACAACTATTATATGCTAATAAAAAATTCATTAAAGAATTAAATTGCAGAAGCACATGTTCATCAAATTGTGAACTCTGGTGGTTTTCTGAGAAAAAATTCTTCATTTGAATAGACTAGAGAGATGATTCATGCTATAATTTTGTCTCATGAAACTATAGCAAATCTCTTTTGGCTAACATCCTAGCCAAATTCTAAATGTGACTTAAATCTAGATGGAACATAACTGTCAAACACTGTACTCATCTTAAATGTTTTAAATCTATACCCATGTACTATATGTGGTCACCAATTACTGACAGATATAAAATCACTCTTAAATTTTTAAAACTTAGACGATCACTTTCTGCTACAGTTCTGGGAGATGCAATTATTATATCAAATACTATATAAGATTTACTTTTTCTTTCAGTTTGTATGTTTCTATGTCTAGCATATAGGATTTCCTTTAAAATTTTATCAAAACAAGCTGGGTGCCAGTGGCTCACACCTGTAATCCTAGCTACTCAGGAGGCAGAGATCAGGAGGATCTTGGTTTGAAGCCAGCCCAGGTAGAGTTCATTAGACCCTATCTCAAAAATTACCCATCACAAAAAAAGAGCTGGTGGAGTGGCTCAAGGTGTAGGCCCTGAGTTCAAACCCCAGTACAGTAAAAAAAAAAAAAAAATTAGCAAAACAAAGAAAAATAACTTCAATTTGAGGACCTACTATATGCCATGTACACATTTTTGCCAATTATCTTCACAATTCTGGAAGATAGGAATTGCTCATAGGCAAAGGTAATACTTTGTTCTGTCACTTTGTCCTCTGACAAAGAGCAGTTTGGATGTTTTGAGTTGATTTGATTTATGAACCATTTTAATGGCCTTGAAAAGTGGCTTTGTGCATGGCCATTTTTCAAGCCCTAATGGACTAGGATAGCAGTGAAAGTTAATGCTGTACTTCCAAAATGGAGCCAGCTCTTCCTCTTCTTTTCAATTCTGCACTCATTAGGTTATGGAAGGAAGACTTGGGAATTAGCAGAAGCCAAATCATGTCATCTTTCTCTGCTCTCTGCCTCTCTTTTCATGTAATCAGGCTTGTGTCTTAACTCTGGCATGGGTAGGTCCAGGAATGTACTCTGTTCTCAGGGAATAACTTTTCTCTTGTTATTTCTTCCCTTGTTGTCTAGTTCTGTGTCATTTCATACCAGTGGCGTAGCAAGTTTCAGTATTTGAGTGTGAATGAGAGGATGAGGAAGGAAGGAGAGCACAGAAGTGCCATTTGGCTTGCTTTGCATATTGGCATTTATGTCCTCTAGCCTAAAAAAGTGGAATTCTACCTTTCTGGCCAAGATCTCTGTGGTTTTACATTAGAA